TGAGTTTGCATAGAAAACCAAAATGATGAAGCCAGGGGACTCAAAATTTAACCTTGTCACTTAGACATTGGGGAATTTCACAAACTTCCTCCATGCTGCACAGTCTGTATTAGAAACAGAACCAAAGATCTTAAAAATATATGATTTATGAAGAATCTAGGCTGAAGTATGTCAATATAACCATCTGGGAAATTGTCATCTAGAAAATTCCTCAAACGTAATATAACAGACTAAGGTAAACAAAGACTTATCCCAACCAAAACTTTGTTTCGACAATCTGAATTTTAAATGTCTTAGTAATTATACTGTTACCCTGCACTAAATAAGACTTAACTATATGCTGGTATTTTCAGCATTTGAGCCTCAAAAATACGATAACATTTGCTTTTTAGTATTTATAAATCCTATTTGATGAATTAGGAAACTGTGACAGCAGGAGGCAATATTTTTTTCCAAGGTCACACTACTTGTGAATAGCAGCATTGCCAGTCTGGCCCTGGCCGATGTGCTTAACCACTTAGCAGACATTCACACATCACTATGAAGCATTCTGCAGAATGAGTTCACACACAAGTCTTTGGTAAGTGGTCAAGATTTTTACCCAGGCTTAATCTGATAGAATTAATATCTTTTCCCATCACAATAAACTACCTTTTCACATTGCCATGCTTAAACCTCACTTAATTTATTATTATTATTATTTTTTAATTTGAAAGCTACAGAGAAAGAAACAAAGATACTTTCCATTCTCTAGTGCACACCCGCAATAGCCAAGGCTGAACCAGGTTGAAGCTTGGGAGCCCAGAACTCGATCCAAGTGTCTTACGTGGGTGTCAGGGACCCATGTAGAAGCTGTTGCTTCTCAGAGTGTGCATGAACAGGAAGCTGTGTCTGAGAAAGGAGTGGGGACTAGAACCCAGGCGTCCCAATTTAGGTTGCAGGCATTCCAAGTGACAGCCTACCTCCTGTGCCAAACACTCACCCTAAATCTGAGATTGGAGTCATTCTTTCTGCACTCTGGCCCTCTGTAGCAGTCTTGTACAGAAGGCAGATTCAGTCCAAAGCAAGCATCACAGACACCTCATAAGAGAGGGAACGAATTCTAACCCTTGTTCGGCAGTCATCGTAGTAGGCTCTGGGGCTTCTTCCAGGGTGCCAGCTGCTTGAGTTGTCCCTGTCTGTGTACTGGGCTCTCCTCTCTCGGGATGTGGTGTGTGTGATGGGACAGGTGCTAGATCAGGAAGCAAGACACTAGGGTTCCAGCCTTAAAGTATCTTCATGCTTGTAAAGGAGGATATTTCCTTCTTCCCATACCTACTTCACTTACTCTTCTCAACTACCCAAGAGCTAGTTCACAGATGAACTAGTGATCTAGTTCACGGATGAAGGAGATTCAGAATTAATTAAACTCCACCCAGGTCATCTATGGTGGTAACTCTGACTGCAGAAACTTTAGCTACATTCTGCCAAGTTGCCTCTGATATCCCTCAGATCATCTCAGATTCTTGGAATCCACAGTGTCACAGAGCCCTAGGGATCCTCTGGAGGTATGTCAGAAGTTGCTTTGGGAAGGAAGTTCAGGGAGACAGTGCTAAGGATGTCACCTGTCCATGAAGTGATACAGGTGTGTACGGAGACACATAAGTGGTGCATGGCAATGCCACTTTGACCCGCCTCATAAAATTTCAGCTTTTCCCATTTGCACAGAAGGAAAAACTTGCTGCTAAAAAGTAGAGATTTGCAGACCACTCTCCCAAGTGACCTTTTAAAGTCCTATTTGGATTTAATATCCAGAAGGGATTCGAATTGTGAAGGCAGAATAACTGGCAAATCCAGCCTTCAGAGGCCTTAGATTCCCTCGGCTGGGTCTGTCTAGAAAATATTCGATGCTTTTGAAAGCAAAAGCAGTGCTCGCACTTCTGGGAATCTAGACACAACTTGGGAAAAGGTCTTGGTTATATCACTGAAGATGGATAGTTAGTGAGAGTCACATCTGGGTTTTCATGTGTTCACCATATTTCTTGAGGGTCAAGGATGAAAGGGTTGTATAGATTCTGGCTGAATTGCTTCTCAATGTCCATTCTCTTCCTTTCTTACCTTGTCTAACTTCTCTCCTCTCTCTCTCTGTCTCTGTGTCTCTCACTCCTTCAGGCCCCTACGCTTGCTGTAGACAAGAAAAGGTGATCTGTACCACTCAGAAATGAGTGAATTTCCTGGCTTCATCATTCCCTGGCCTTTCCCTATTCACATTCTTATACAGAGCAAAGCACTGGCACTTGATGATAGCTGTCAGGCAGGTGTTTTGATGAGCGCATGGAGAACCAAGTTCTGTTTTCCCATAACCCCAATGCTTATACACCTTACTAAGGGACACATATACAGAAACGAATAAAGCCAATATCAGACTAAGTGTTGGGGATGATGATAGTACCTTTTGACAAAACATTTATAAAGGTGTATTTACATCCATTCAGAGCCAAAGTCCAGTTTTGGAATATTTATATTAACCCAGAAAGATTCTTTAAGTTTATGTGGCCAGCCCCTCTTCCTACCACCAGTCTTGGATGATTATTAATCATTCCATCTTTATCAATTATCTTTTTAGGCCATTGCATAAAAGCAGGATCTGGGGACAAGTGGTGTTTTGGGACTGACTTCTTTCAGTTAGCATCCTCGTTTGAAGGTTTATCCACACTTTAGCACGTATCAGTACTCAGCTCCTTTTTACATAACATCTTTTACAACGACAAGAAAGAGCATGGATTTCAGAAACATGCAAATATGGGACAAAAGCCATGCTGTGCTGATGCTTAGCTGCAAGTCTTTGGGCTGGCTCCTCAGTCTCCCTGATTCCCATTTGTAGAGCAAGGATGCTATTCCCTGTCTCTGAGGACTGTCCTATGAATTAGTGGTATCATTACAGCAAATAGCAGGCACTCAAAATTGCAGTCCTTCTGTCTACATTTCTCAAGAATCTTGCTTTCTTCCCCCTTGCTTTGGACTTGAAAGTGAATCTTCTAGCACACAACAGCATGGCTGAAAAAAGGACCCACATAACAAGCAATATCCAAAACAGAATTCCACCAAAGGGGGGTTCCACTCTCATTAATGCTGCCCCGATGGTGAAAAACTAAAGAAATTTCTTCCAATGAGATTGCTATCATAAAGAACACTGTATTGTTTTTCATTCTTTGTAAGAGGTAAAAATGTGTCAAACTGTATCCTAGAGCATTTTACATGTGGCCCTTATATTTGCAAGGCTCTGAGGGTACCACATGTCCCCACTTATTCTCATCAAACTGCTTCCACTAACATCAACCTTCAGGTAACCTGTAAGCAAGCAGTAGAGGCCCACAAAGCCCAGTAAAGAAAACCCACGAGAAATCTTCCAAACCCAACTTCAGGCCAAGCGTTTCAGATCTGTTCTTTCCCATCTCTTTAGAAGTATGTGTGTGGCAAAGGAGGCTGCACACAAGCGCCTCCTGTGTTGAATAGATGCTGGTCTTGAATTTAAGCCTGAAGGGAGCCTGAATGTCACTTTGTATATGCTTGAACACAGGGCTCCGGTTTACAAAAATGCTACTCCTTAGCTCTGAGCTTCCCGGTGCCAGTTGTGCATTATTTGCCTGACCTCTTTCCTTGCCCTTTCATTCACCACTACTGCCCCTCGCCTTTCACCCCTTATCTGCCATTTGTTACAGCTGCAGCTGCATTCTGCCCCCATAATCCCCCAGCCCCAACTCCAGTAAGTTTCTAAAGCAGTTAGTAACCCCACACCTTTTTATATCCAGTTTCCATAATTCACTGAGAGTAAACAAAACACAAAATGTAAGGCCTATCAAAATTTCCACTAGCTAAAAAAAACTCCCAATTTTGTTTCTCTCTCAAGTAGACATGATTTTAAAACAAAATGGTATAAAACGTCTGTTGTCAAATATAAGCTGGTTATTAAGAAAAGTGATGTGTAACTTTCCAACCTTTCGATATCATGCTAGTCACCATTTGCACTGCACTGCTGGCATTAAAGACAGCCAAGGGTGAGCCTTTCACACAGGTGACAAGACACACTTCCCCTAAGGGACCCGGCAGTTCCCATCGCTTTCTTCTGACTGACTTGAACTCTTGTTTGGATAAAGTTACACTCACACACAGCTATACTGAGAAAAGCAAAATCTAGACTGAGCCAAGTACTAAAATTAAGGGATTTGTAGAAGGATTCCCGTGTTTGCTCGCCCTAAGTACTTAGCTTGAAAATAGGAACTGTTAATAAAATCCATTGCTAACTGTTTTGCTTGATTGTTTTTGCCACTTTTGAGAATCCAAGCAGTGGATGGAAAAATTTTACTCATTACATTATCACCTAACATGCACTTGGTCTACACATGTCTTTAAATCAGTAAAGATTTGGGAACAAAACCAATCAAGGTTTATTTCAATTTGCATATTCCCCCAATATATAAACATCTGTGTTAATACTTCCTTTTCATATCACCACAGTGCAGAGAGTAATTTATATACAAGATTTTATTTTAGGGATTTTATTTTAAGCGGCATCATAGGAATTTGTCCTATGGTATAAATAGCTCAGTAAATCTGAGATTTAGCAAAGATTTTTCTCTCTAAAGCATAGAACCTTTTGTGCAGCCACAAATGCAAAAGGCGTCTTGAGGCCTCATGAACTAACTGTCCTTTATGCCCAAACATACCCTATCAAAAATCTGACGCTCCAATATTTTAGTAGGCCAATATATTGAAGGTTAAATTTTTGAAATATCACTTAAGGACCCAAATTGTCCATATTTACAAACCAAAGCCACAGTCTTCGAATTCTTATTTGTCCTCCAGTTTGTAAATAGCTCCAGAAGGAACCTGATGGTAGGGTGATTGGTTACAAATCTCAAATTGACAGAGCCCCTTTCTGCCGCCTCGGCCACTGCACAGTTCAATCTGCATCGCACATCCCACATAAGGATTATCAAACAATGCCAACACTCTCCTACCCTGAGATGGCAGCCAGTTTTTGATGTGCCTGACGGGCCATTTCGCAGCCTTTGGTTCTTGTCTTGTACATTTCCGCCCGCAGGGAGGGGCAGCTGACCGAGACATCCCCAATGGAAATGACCAACTCTCGAAATAGGGCCACCTGCGTGTTGAACTCTTGGACAAGCTGCAAAAGAAGCCGAGTTTCTCATCAGACACATCATGGCAAGTTTCCTATTTTGGCGAATCTTACGGGGGGAGGGTGGGGGGAGCATCCAGCAGCCTTCATTCACCCCTGAACCTGTGCACTCCCAGGCTCTCCAGCAAGGAAGTTCGGAGATGGGCTAAAGCTTAAGACCGCGAAGACAAAAGTCTCATTGTCCAAGTCAAGTGTTGATTTTTCACAGGCAAGCTTGGCTCGGTGCTGAGTTCTATTTCTAGTTCTACTTGCCCCTGCCCGTTTCTGAAAAGCTAGAGCTTCTCTGGAGAGCAACCCTGTCAGTCCCAGGTCATTGGAAAGTGATGCTGGGGGAGCGGGCCAACGACCCTCCCCCTTCTGCTCCTGCTAGCAAATGAATTTGAAGTTGCACGGTGAGTAGACCAAAGGCAGAGTGTGGGAAGAAGCCCATTCCTTCCTGTCTGGCCACTGACCCTCTCCATCTAGGAGCCTAACGGGGCCGACCCACTGAACCTTCATCCCCTCTGCAGCTCCTCGTGCGCTCTGTTTGGGTTTGTTAGCCCGCCGTCTCCCCACAAAGCAGCACCCCCACACTCCAAGCCCTCCCCCACCCTGGATAAGCCAGACCGTTCACCCCGTCTTTGACATTCACCATTCTTGGAGGGGATAGAAATACCACCTACTCCCGCTGACCCCCAAGACCCTCGCAGTGACACGTCTCTGCTCGAGGTCATTGACCACCCGGGTGTCACCCTGAATGTGAGGGACTGCAGATTTAAAAATAGTGTCTGGACACGTGATCGGCATGGAGGCGCTGGGGGCGGGGGAGTGGCTGGCACTTAAGCAAACGATTCACATGCACGACTCTCCCACCCCCTCTTAAAAAATAATAATAACCCAGAGGCGTAATTTTCACCCACCATCTTGCAGTCCTCCAGGGTTCGTTGGGTTTTTTGGGCGCTCTCGGAGCCGCTGCCCCGGCGCTCCCAATCCCCGCTCTGCAGCGGGGGCTTGCTGATCTGGAAGATTGAGGAGCGGGTGGACCGGCTGGGGCGCTTTTTGCGCCCATTCAGTGCAGAATTCATGCATACACATCCACCAAGCCGAAGCCGCTGGTGCAGTGCGCCCCGGCGCGGGCGGCCCGGTTGTTGCCTTGCGCGCTGCCGCCAAGCAAACCGGAGCCGGGACCGGAGGCGCGGCGTTCACAGGGTAGAGGCTGGCTGTGCGGGCGGGTAACCTTCAGCCTGAAGGAGAGCCGGGGAAGCGCTGGCTGTGCCTTGCAGCATCGCTTCCACTAGCAACAAGAAAGGGGCGCGATCAAGTTCTGTTCAGCAGCATCGCCGGCCCTGTCCCGGGAGCTGGGCGCTGGCGCGGGCGCGCATCGCCTTCCTCTGGGCATGGATCGCGAAGCTGGGCGAGAAGGAACGCGCCGCCCGGCGGCTCCGAGTTTCCATTCAGATGGGGGTGGGGGGTGGGGGGAAGCGTTCAAAGCCTGCGCTGCAAGGCGGGGGGCGGGTGGGAAGGGGTGTCGCTCTTGCCTCAGTGTCTTCCCCCAGAGGCACTGGTTTCGTCTCTTTCCCCTCCCTCCACTGTCATCAGGCCTGGGAGGGCTGGCCGTTCCCGAAGCAGGCAATTGGCTCGAATCGGCTACATCGATCCCTCGCCTCTACCGGCTCGTCGGTTTGAGGATCCCGAATGAATCCGTGGCGGGACTGGCAGACGCAGGGACTGGGTCTGGCTGACGTGGCTTGCGGCCCCGCACATTGATAGGATGGGAATACTAATGTGATCCATCCATGCAACCCCCTTCCCCCTCCACAGTTTATGCACTTATCCAATCAAATCCCCAGGAACATCAATTGCAATATTACTTCATCTGCTCTATTATTAGAAACCAAAAGTGTCATCCGAGTGGAGCACATTGCCACATGGGTTCCACATAAACCAGTGTGGGCTCCAGGACCCCACTCTCCAAAGCGGAGACTGGGGGCCACAGGAGGGAGTGAGATTTTTTTTTTTTTTTTTTTTTTTTTGCTTCAAGTGGAAGGCATCTGGGAACAACACAGGCATGCTTGAGTTTCTAGCGTTGTGTGTTTTGTGTGTTTTTGTTTGGGTCTTTTTTCTTGGGAGTGAGGCAGTGAAGTCAGAGGTACAGAGGCAAACAAGTTCACCGGTTGCATTGCAGGGTCTAGGGGATCCAGCTCTGAGAGTGGCCCATCAGGAGCCAACAGAACTCCATGGACAGTCAGGAGGACTCTGTTCTCATTTGTCCCAGAGACGGCGACCCCTTGGCGAGTCCATGAAGGTGGCCCAGGGAAGCTGAGAGCGTTCCTGTGTGAAAAGAGATGGGGTGAGGAATACCCATTGAGGTCCGCCTTCAGCACCTTTGCCAAGGGCCTTTTGGGAGGAAGAGGTAGGGGCCACCAGCTCTAGTGCTAATGAAATTCTTGTTCCTCTGCATGATTTGTTCCGGGAGGAGAAAGGGCATACCACATGGAGACTGGAGAAGAGGTTTAGAGGAAGAAAGAGCTGCAGGAAGGCCGACACCCTAAGAGGGGTGGGGAAAGTAGCTCTAGAATGATTAGTATCTTTCACAAGATGGGCAAACATATGGAGGTGCTACGGTATACTAAAAGAGAGATGTGGTCATTGGCTCCAGTTCCTTGCACAAAGTCTATGCAGCAAGAATGATGAAAGAATCCTGCCCCTGGAAATTTGAACCTTGGGGGCGAAGGGAGAGGAGCTAATGATTGAGTTCATTGCCAATGGCCAATTCTTTCATTGATAATGCCCGCAAAAAGAAACCTCCATTAAAAGAAAATCCCAAATGATAATAGTGTGGGGGATTCTGGCTTAGCAAAGACTTCAAGGTGCCTAAAGAGTGGCATACTATGAAAGGATACGGGAGTTCCCTGCCCCATCCTTTCTCTTGCATTTGTCTCTTCCTGAGTTGTGTCTCGTAGCACAAACTGGTCATAGAAGCTAAGGCATTTTCTTCAGTTCTACAAGCAATACAAGCAATTCTGGTGACTTTCATGGACCCCAAGAGGGCAATTATGGGGACCTGTGAATGTGTGGTCAGATTAGATGGATGGACTGGTTGATCTGGGGATTCAACACTTGCGATTGGTCTCCGAAGCTCCACTTTGGGGAGTTCATCCTGTGTAGTTACTGCCAGAGATGAACAGCAGGAAATCCCAACAGTGTGAGAGCCGGAGAAACAGTGTTGGGAAAGACAGTAATGAATTTGTCTGGGAGTGGGCCTAATGGGTGAATGTACCTAGATGGACATTCAGTTGCCTTTGCACGGCACAGTCCTCCCTCAGGATACAGGGATGAGTTCCAGGCTCTGCTCAGATACTAAAGTCTGAGAATGTTCAAGTCCCTTCTTTAAAATGGTGCTTAAAGAATGTTGTGCCCAACATGTTGAACCCAAATAGATTCATTGTTTTTTAAAAAAGTTAATTACTATTAAAATTTTAATTTATTTTCCGTATGGAAGAGAGGCAGAGAGACTTTATATTCATTGGTTCGCCTCCTTAAGTGTTAATAATAGCTGATGCTGGGCCAAGCTAATGCCAAAAACTAGAAACTCAGTCTGGGTCTCCCATATGGGTGGCAAGGACTGAAGCATCTGAGCCATCACCTGTTACCTCCTGGGGTCCACACTGACAGGAGGCTGGAATCACAAGCAGAGCTGGGACTTGAACTCAAATCCCCTGATCAGCTGTATCTTCATTGCTGACTCAAGTGTCTGCCCCCAAACTCACCTTCTAACTTCTATTTTTTCCACAAACCTTTTGAAGTACCTTTGTATAACACATATACATCCTCCTGTATATTTTAAGTCATCTTTAGATTACTGAATACAATGTAAATACTTATTAAACCATATTACTTAGGAAATAATAGCAACAAGAATGAAGTTTGTTCATGTTCAGTAAGGTGCCCAGGCAGGTGAAAACACGAGCTGCTAAAGAGGAAGGCAACAGAAGGTTAAAGAACTTTAAAAGCAGATGGATAACATTTGTGAAGTGTTGAATACCTGTGATGCAAGCTCTTTGTGTTCGCCAACTTACTCCCATAACCCTGCCCAACCTTCCAGAAAAGCCCGTGTTAGCCCTTTGTGGGTGGCGCTTTGGAGAATTCAAAGAAAAGGGGGCTGCCTTTTCTGTGTGTGGACATAGGACGGGGAGACCAGCACTTCAAAGATTAATCCGCTGAAAATCTTTAATCAATACTGCTATCTTCATACCGAGTAAGAAAATAATGATTCCGACCAGATTTGATCATCTGTAAGCTCCTCAGTTGTAGGTTTACTCCAGCTACAACCATCTGGCTTCTACCTCCCTTCTTTCGCCTAGAGAGAGTTTCAACAAATTAAAAGGGGGATGGGGTGAGATAGGGAAGGCTGCAGGAATGCACTGCCTCGCTTCGATGCTGTATTTCTTGCAGGATGTGGGCAGGGAGAGGGAAATTCATAGGGGTAAATGCAGTGCCATATCGGAGAGAAGAGAGTTTGGAACACCTGCTGAGGGGTTAAGTGGAAATTACCATTTGTAGGTACCCCTTGGCCTTCCTGATACACCACCCAAGCCATTTTCTTGAGAGAGGGAAAACCCAGCATCCATTCCAGAGCTATCTCTGCAAGCCACAAATGCTGTAATCAGAATAGCAGGAGGCAGGCTGAGTTCCCTCACCTTCCCCCACATTCAAAATGGCATGAATTTACATTCCTGGGGCTGTCTGACTGCCAAGCGCAAGGGTGAAGTGCAGCTGGAAATCTCAATAACGAGGGCAGATTTTCTGGTTACCTAGAACTGATTTTGGCACAGTTCTATTGATCGGAAGTTGCCCTATAAGTATATAGATTTGACAAGTCATTCTGGCTTCACCCCCAGTACAAGTGTTTTCATGTCTTGTGTTCTCTTGGCTAGTTCTACAGAATTTATTTTGACTTGGGATTGTATAAAAAGAATTACAGAGAATATCAGTTTCAAGTAAATACGAAACTGCTAAGTTTCTTCAAATTGGTGCTAGGTGGAACGGCAATGGGATTCGGAGATAAACATCTCAATCATGGCTGACCTCTCATTGAAAGGAGAAGCTGGGAGGCAGAGTTGGGGGATGAAGTAGAGGAGGTCAAAAAATGAAAAGAACATATTTAGGTGGGCCTTTGACAGAGGCCAAGGGAAATACATTAAAATGTTGGATTCTAGAAGCTGGGTGATCCAAAGTGAATCAACAGCTTATGTCTTATTAGCACCAAAATGTAAGAGATTGAATTATCATGAAGAATTGAGTGAATAAGTTACCTACTACATGTTTTATTCGTACTAAAAAGCCAGCAGGAATATAACAGGTGGGGAACTTTATTTTTTCACTAGTGTTTTATTGAAGACAAATAGTCTTTCACTGTACCTGCAAGATTCCATGTATGGTCTTATAAGGTTCCCACGCTTGCTCCATGAAAGACCCAGATTGGCTCTCTGGCTTCAGTGTGGCCCAGCCTTGACTGTGGGGAGTGAAACAACAGATGGAAAATCTGTCTATTTCTGCTTCTGTTTCTCTTTGCCTTTCCCCAAATTAAAATCAAATAAAGATCTGACTAGGAAAAAAATATATGAGTTATTCAAGGCACAATGCAGTCTCCCACTAAGATAACAAGACAATCATCCCCCAAATTTGCATGTGGTCCATCTCTTGAGAGCCTTTCCTGCCTGATACCTACCATCCAGGGCAGGTGCTCACTAGTCAAACTCTCCGACCTGCCTTGTCTATGCATTCCACTGAGAGCCTGTGCCCACTGGGTTAGACCTTTGGCTGGCCACCCAACAGCTCTGGCCTAAACCTGAGCTGCAGCACACCACACTCCATCACTAGTCAGCCACTGCTTTGTTCTGACCTCACAAACCCTATCTGCAGTGGCCACTCTTCCAACCAAACTTGGTTCTTTTAAGGACACATCTGGGCCTGCCAAGTATGCTGAAACTCATATTGTAGAAACACTGCAGTGAACAGACTGTATCTGCAGACGCAACTCCCGAGCTGTCCTTTGACCCATCTGTGCCCTGACTCCTTTCCAGCTGTTCCATTTCTATCCTTCTCCCTGCCTTATTCTTTGGTTCCTCTTAGTAGTTAATCTCCCTTGCATGGACTCTCTTCCCTTCTCTAATAATCAGTACAATTATTACATATGTATTTTTCTTAATAAAAATTACCTTGCAGATAGAGACACAGTCTTTTTGGACCACCAGCCCAGCCTTAATTATTTCCTGCCTCCACTGTTGAAACGCTTTTGATGTGTAGATCTTCTGCTACATAATTTTACATGTATAACCTCCTAAAATACACTGAGTATTTTGCTGCTTTTAAAAAAAGATTTACTCATTTTAATTGGGAAGACAGATTAAGGATACAGAGAAACTTCTTCCATTGGTGGGTTCACTCCCCAAAGGGCCACGGCTGAGCCAATTGGAAGCCAGTAGCCCCGGGTGCTTCTTCCTGGTCTCCCACTTAAGTGGAGGGACCCAAAGACCTGGGCCATCCTCCACTGCTTTCTCAGGTCATAAGCAGGGAGCTGGATCAGAAGTGAAGCAACCGAGATGTGAACCAGCACCTGTATGGGATGCTGGCACAGGGGAGCAACACTCTATGCCACTGCACCAGTATTCTGATCTTGTTAAATGCACACACACACACATATATATAATAGAAATGATATGTTAGTTTTGTAGGCTATTTTGCGACTTGCATTTTTTCTTTATACTCAACACTGTGTTTCTAAAGAGGCTCAAGCAAAGCACTTCTA